ATTTGATTGGGCAATTTTGGTGATTTTCAGGAAATCAACCAAAAACGGATCATTAAAATTTCTAGGGTTCACTTTCTTGGTGATTTCTTAAGTTATAACTGATTTTGATTTTTTGAGAATGACATGACATCCAACATGGCATTAAATAATAACTCTAATACAAAAATAATGGGCCAGTACCAAATATACTCAGCCAATTTCTCAAAAATAGATCTACATTGGGTAAATGATATTGAACAACAATTTTTGATAATTTTTCAAAAGTCAATAACTTAAAATATTACCTATTTTTGGATAATTGTTAAGATAATCGATGTCAAATATCACCTAAATCATTAAATTCCTTGAGTAGTTAAGTTTCAATTTTTCTTTACAAAGCCCCGTACATTTGCACGGGTATATGTATATTCGAACTGAATTTAGAAATATGCACAAATCAAACCATCGTTTTGGCGACCATATATGATTGGACAGTGTATAAAAGGGCTCAAACATATTAAAACTATGATGCCGGAAAGGTACGATAACGGAAGAGCTTTGGCAATCAAAATACCCCATGATATTTGATGAATACAATCGGATTGGTCAATTTTTATGATACCGGTTGACTCGTAATAAGGTTTTCCGGTATCATAACCGTCAAAGAGATAACGTAGAAGAGACAAATGCCTCGCCTTCCCCCGGCCAACCGCCATTTCCGCCAACCTTGCTCCAAATTTTAACGAATTTACCACTATACCCCTTGATCCTACAAGAATCCACGGACTTATCCTGATCCCAAACTCACCAACTCCAGTTTATAGGGCTGTGAAAATAAAAATGATCTTGCCAAGTGGCAATGTGGCATCATCATAACTACGATACATCCATGGTCTTTGGTCCAACCCAACTTGGCACGAGCCGGTTCCAAAGTTTAATTGTCTGGTATTCATGTAAAACCGAAACTCTGGACCGGGTTAATCCATATGCTCTTTGTTGGACCCTGACATATTTGCCATTTGGCGACATTTCTCCCCCAGTCCCACAGTATAACACAATTGTACGAAAAGTGATGACAGATCGTATTATACGTTTAGGGCTTTGTTCTTTATTCTTTTACAGGTATCGAGAAAATCAATCTTCAATCTTGTTCCTGCTTCCTCCTTAACCTTAATCTGGAACCTTTTTTCTTTTATTTTTGCTGATTGGCAAATTTGGAACCTTTTGATTCGAATGATTTGCTATATATTTTGTATCAGATCTACCATTCTGATGCTCGACTCTTGATGGGCTAAAGATTCCAATCGTTCCGTTTAACGTGTGGATCTCCACCTTCTCATATGTAACTAGCATCATGAATTCATGATTTCATCTGACGTGATTATCTGTTTTTTCATTTTATTTGATCGTAAATAATTTTCTCTTTTGCAAAATTTACGTATGGTCTTAGCTGTAATCAATTCATGGTTGATCGTTCAAGGAGTATCGTTGAAAATTACAGAGGGGTATATTGGTAATTAAAAGATATTCAAAAATAGGGCATTTGTCGTAAATTTCATGTTGAATGCAGGAGCCAATCAGTAATTTCGCTCTGGTTTTGAAACGGGTTTCAGAAATCAGACCCCTTGGTGACCTGATCGAACATCATCGATCAGGTCTCATCTCTGCGTTTGTTTTAATTTTGTTTTTTTTTTTTTATTTTTATTTTCATTATCTTTCTTTTTTAGATAATCAGATTCATTCCATACGGTTTGCCGAAGGAATCAGAATGTGCAAAAATGGAATCTATCTGGAAAATTTGAATTTCTGATAAAAGCAAAACAAAGCTTCCTTTGAAGGAGGTCCTTTGATGCTTTTAATGGATTATATGCTGGTTTTGGTGAAGGAAAGCGTTAACTTTCCGAAGTTTTAATGACGGCGAAAACTCTAAAATACATACGGCCATGTTTCCGCCATTTAACCCTCTCTTGCAGGATTGCAACCTTCCTCCTTGATCGTTGAAACTACGTCCAGCGAGGATTCTTTTCCTCTCTTTTTTCCCGGTTAATTTATCAACAAACATGGCGGAGGGAATTTGTTGTTTCAGATATATTTTGCTTTTCTGATGGAACGACTAACAATCCATGTTGGCGAACTTTGTGCGGGAAAAGTTCGCTCTTTAGATGAAGGTTTCTGGAATCCTGTGTTTGAATTCGGCGAACGAGGCTAGAAAAACTGAATTTTGGTTAGCGTCCCTGTCCCACGGTTGGTTTCCGGTTTCTATCTGAGGAATTCTCGTTGTAATCCGATTTGAGGTTCTGGAATCATGTCAACGGAGACGCCTAGGTCCGCTGCTCGTAGCTCGCTGGAGGAAATGCTGGAGTCCATCCGGCAAAGGGACCAGCGGTCCAAAGATCTACCTCCGGCATTGCCCGTTCGTCCGACCTCCAAGGCCCGTCTCCCCGCGGCGAGAAGGGTTTTGGCTCTTAATTTGAAGATTGACAAATCCGTTCCAGAGTATTTGCCCGATAATAGCCAAGAGAAGGATAACGAGAAGAAAAACAACGACCGAACAGAGAAGGAAGAGAAGAGAAGGGACGGAATTTGTACAAAGGAAGATAAGGAACCAAGTCTCCATACTACCAACTTAGGGAACAAAAATATGAAGGCCGACCGGCCCGACCCGCCTTCCGAATCCCCTTATGCTACGGTGTCGCACGAAGGGGGACTGGAGGAATCTGATGATTCGAATCATGCAGCGGCAGTGCCTTCCACCTCGCTGCCATCAACTGGGGAATCTAGGTGGGAGGACAACATAGACTATATTGCGAAGAAGGTACACTGTGCTCTGCTCCTAAAAATCGTTATCAATAATTAAATACTTTCAAGCTGTATCAATAATTAAATACTTTAAAGGCATAAAAAGGATGAAGTGGGTCTTCTTTGACTGTAGGCAGTAGGCTTTCCTTCTTATCTCTGACAAACACAAAAATTCAGGTTTTCATAGTTCCGTACTTTATTGAAAAACAGAGGTCATCGAATGATTCTTCAGTCTTCACTACATTATATTACTTCACTTGATTCTTACACTTGAAAAATGTGACCGTATTTTTAGAAGTGCCATCAGGAGCAGCTAAAGGTACACATTCAAGATGCGATTAACACATATTGAACTGGGGCTCTGTTCTGAAGCAGACCAGGGGACTTTAGATGCCATGGTTGCGAGGATCTAACTCTTCAATTAGTTATCATATGGCCTTGTATTTCTGATCCTAAGTAAAACTACTTTGGCTATCTCTTTTATTGCAAACTAAGGATTGTATTCTTTCTGTTTCACTATGTGGACGTGCAATCTTGTTGTTTCAGCCACTTGTTGACACTTGCGCCCAAATATCTCTAAAACATTTTAACTGGGTCAGCATGGCCACTCTCTGGAGAGGATCAGAAAACCTTCATAATGGCAAACAGTTAAAATTTCTTGGGACCCATCTAAGTGATTTCTTTCTTGAATAACCTCTCCATAAAGGTCTGGGAAGAAGTGAAGTTGGTATTGTGGTTTACTGAACTGGAAGCTATCACTTGTTCTGGCCTGCTAGTTATCTGGGTTCTCCTTTGGTCAAATTTCTTTGTTAATTCTTATTGTTAGTTTCACTACAAAGGATGAGGAATCAATGTGGGGTAGGTACAAATGGATAGCAATGTTGGGGTTGGGCAAGGAAGATTATCTGCATGGTTCATTTTTCTCTGACCAATCATGCATCTTCTCTCTCTCTACACACACACATATACATGCATACGTACATGTATATACATAGTTCTTGTTTCCAATGAGATTACTTTCTTTTTGTGCAAATTCATAAAATTTAAGAATAATTTGTTTCCAGAAACTTCGGGTTTGGTGCCGTCTCTCAAATGACCAGTGGGAGTTAGGAAAAATTCGATCAACTTCTGGAGAAGATATGTGTGTTTTGATTTCAGATGGCAGTGTGAGTTCATAAACCCTAGGTGTCTTTTTGAAGCTACATGAATATTCAACTTTGGGTGCCTCCATGATGCGATTAGTTAGATTTATGTGCACTTATATTTTTCATTACCTTCAGGTTGTGACAGTGTCCAAAGGAAACCTCTTACCTGCTAATCCAGATATCCTTAATGGCGTAGACGACCTCATACAGCTTAGTTACTTGAATGAACCATCGGTTCTTTACAATCTTCAATACAGATATGCTCATAATATGGTTTATGTGAGTATTTTTTTATTCTTTTATGGATCAGATGCTGTTTCTTCCTTCCTTACTCCTTTTAACAATATAAAACTCTCTTTCTATAGAGTAAAGCAGGAACTGTTTTGGTTGCAATCAATCCCTTTAAAGATGTCCCACTATATGGGAAAGAATTAATTTCAGCTTATAGGGAGAAAGCTATGGACAGCCCTCATGTTTATGCTATAGCAGATGCAGCCTTCAGTGAGATGATGAGAGGTGAACATAGAATACTCATTTGGGAAAGTCTTTGTGCTTAGCCATACATAAACTTTTTTTCTGAAGTCACACATTCTTTTTTTTTTCCCTGGTGTTTTATATAGCAGATGAAGTAAACCAATCCATCATCATTAGGTAAGTTATCTATGCAGTATTTGTATGTAAACTGGGGGGCTTTTTTGGAACTTGTTGTATTGTTTTTGTTCTCTGTATGGGCTTTAAGCTTTTCTTCTTTTAATATGTCATATGAGTTTTTTACCTGCCTTGGTCTAAATATGAGTATGGACTTACTATAGTGGGGAAAGTGGAGCTGGGAAAACTGAAACAGCAAAAATTGCAATGCAATACTTGGCTGCACTTGGAGGTGGCAGTGGAATTGAGTATGAAGTCCTTAAGTCAAATTGTATATTGGAAGCATTTGGAAATGCCAAAACATCGAGAAATGACAATTCTAGCCGATTTGTGAGTTTCTCTTCCCCAAGGATGATATTTTCTTATGTATATTGTCATTTGAAGTTTGAAATATTTTCTTAATGAATACCTTTTTCTTATGATGTTTAAGCTTTCTGAAGGTATATGCATTTTGTAAAACAAACTGGTTGAGATTATTCTAAAGATTTTTGGTCTTAACATGTTTCTCATGCTGTGGAGCAGGGGAAACTGATTGAGATTCACTTCAGCACAACTGGGAAAATTTGTGGTGCTAAGATTCAAACTTGTAAGCATGTCTATATTGATCCGTTTTGCTTTTCTGTAATAAAGTTTCAATTTTTGTGATTTTCTGTTTCTGTAACGACTGACTTAGCTCACTTCTTCAACCATGTCTATGCTCATTAAACTTCAACTTACCGTAAAAATTGTGGATAGTTCTGCTTGAGAAGGTATCCCATTGTTGAATCTGAAACTATGTATTGTAGCTTGAATTTCATTTAATATCTTGTACCAACTTATTTATCCAAAAAAATCTTGTACTAACTTTTAATGTCCTGTCTCTTCTAAACAGTCAAGAGTGGTTCAGCTGGCTAAAGGAGAACGATCATATCATATCTTCTATCAACTCTGTGCTGGAGCTCCAGCCTCTCTTAAAGGTTGCCATTAATCTTGTTGCTTTCAAGCTAGCTTTTTATCTTGTTAGTGCTTACCTATCTAGTGCCTATTGGACTCTGCCTTTCTCTCTCTCTCTCTCTCTCTCTTTCTCGTCACATCAGCCCATTCCGTCTTTCTGTTCTATTAATTATTTTTTAATAAATGTAATTTGTCCAAAACTAATTATAATATTAGTGGACCTAATTTACTTAGCACAATTCAATTAAGTAAATTAGTTTAACATAATTCAATTAAGTAAATTAGTTTAACATAATTCAATTAGGTAAATTAATTAATTTATTAAATTTAACTCGATTGGCTTAACATGATAAATCTAATTTAATCAATTAAATTAACTTAGTCAACTTAAATTAACTAACAAAGTCAAATTAACTTAATAAATGTAAAACAGCTTAGTTTAGTTAACTAGGATACTTGTTGCATATCTGGCCTCCTTGGCTTGATCAGTTCAGGGATGGGGATTGCTTTGGCGGGGATGATCATGGGAATGAGGAATAAGTGGGGTACCTGATTGAGGATAGTTCTCCTCGATAAGGAACTCATCGGGACAAATTGAACAAATTGTGAAAGTAGTTTTGTATAATTACAATAATGCCACTACATATATTGGACAAATTTCTATTTTATCTTGTTGATTAATGATGATAGTTAACTGCTAAAAAAATTGAGATTTCTGATTTTTTCTTTCTTTTTTTTTAAAGTAAATCTTTCTCCCAAAGCAAGCTTTTAATTCAAAATAAAAAACAGAATTCGGGGATTCGGGTCCTCATTGGGGAACCTACCTCCATCAGGGATGGAGGTTCATTTTCTCCTCGATAAGGATCGGGGATGGGGGTGGGGAGTGAGTTAGAAATTGGGGACAGGGATGGGGAATACGGTTCCTGCCCCAAGCCCCCCTTGACATTCCTAAATTTTGCCATGTTAATATATTAAATTAACCAAAAAATTAGATATGTAATAGTAATAAAGAACTAATAATTAATAATATACAATACCAACACATGAAGTTAGTCACAATAAAACATTACTAAGATAAATTAGAAAAATTAAAATAAGTATTAGTAAGTATATATGCATAATATTTTATTAGATGTTTTAAATTATCTATTTAATATGAAATTATTATTTGTATGCTACACCTATATATTAGTTCCATTTAAAATAAATAAATAAAATCTAATAACAATAAAAAATTATCTAACAAAAAAAAAATCATACAAGTTTATCTAACAATATGTAACCCAAAAATAATGTTTGGGTTGGAATCAGTTTGGCTTTGCCCAATTGAAAATGTCACACGGGTCCTTCAACTTGACTTTTGTTTAACAAAGTCCGTGCATCGCACGGGCCACCCGCTTGATTAGATATGCTGGTTTAATTAACATAGCTTAATTATCTTTGTTAATGTAGTTTATATTGAAGTAAAAAACTTAGATTAATTATACCTATATGTGGTTAAATTAATTTATATATTGGTTTAGTTTAGATTAAGAGTGATTGGAGATAAAAAAACTTTGGTATTAATAAAGACTTGACCTATTTTGTGAGTAAATATATTATCCTAGATCAATTGTAAGTAAATATATAGATTCCATTTCTATTAATAGTAAAATAATTAATTATCTTTGATAAATCAATTATCTACTTAACTGTTTTTATTTTTCCGGGGCAATGATATATTGTTTACATTTCTTTTGAATCTCTTCTGTCATCACATTGGATATCGGGTATTCCCATGCAGCATGGGGCCCACTAGTGTATTATTAGTTTTTTGACTTCAGTTATGCGATATGTCATGTGTAGTCTCAATATGATTTAATGCTTGGCAGAGAGGTTGAACCTGAAAGCAGCCACTGGATACAACTATCTTAAACAGAGTGATTGCTTGACAATTGATGATGTTAATGATGCACAGAAATTTCATATATTAATGGTAATTCAAAAAAACATGTCTCTGCTACCGTACAGAGTACATTGTTTCCAGTTTTTTTGTCTTCCATGTTTCATGATTATATGGTTCTGCTTTTATTTTTCTTTTGTTTGACCAGGAAGCCTTAGATATTGTTCAAATTCACAAAGAAGATCAAGGGAATATATTTGCAATGCTTGCTGCAGTGCTATGGCTGGGAAATATTACCTTTCAGATAATTGATAATGAAAATCATGTAGATGTTGTCATAGATGAAGGTAATAATATGTGTATTGTATGGATCCTTGTTTTTTGCTAGTTTCTAGATTGATGTTAATGAGCTGATTTTCCTTTGGAGGAATGTTTGTAAGACAGGAAACTTGGACCTTTAACCTGGGCCTAGTTGGTATTGGCTTTAAAAACTGACCTGAGGCTACATGAATTATGAATTTGAGCCAACCTGAGTCTGATAACACATAATTTAGCATTATATTTAATTGTATGTACGTTTAAGGAGCTAAGGTGCTTGCCTTTCTGGTTAGGGAATTCAATTTAGTTTACTAACTTGGTATACCCAACATGACCTGATTTGGGCTCTTTTGGGTTAGGCTTATTTAGGCTTGGTTAATAATTGACTGTTCAGGTCTAAAAGATGGGCCTGGGATATGGCAACACTTTTTATCAGTCACCCAATATAAAGTTGCACCTCTAATAATTTTGTCAAGCAAATACTGCTTAATGTTGGATATGGCAATACTTCTCTTCTTTGGATTCTCTGCCCAAAACTTGAAGTAAATAAATATTTAAGAGTGTATATTGGATATTGAATTTTTTAATGTAAAAAGATTCAAGCACAAAGTTTGGATTGTAAATATGCCTGCTATTTCTTCACAAATTTATTGAATTAATAGAAGTGTGGTTTATGTTCTAAAGTAGTACCTATCATGATTCTTAATTTCGATATTGATGAACATTTTTCCATATAGATTTGGAGAAATTCTGGAGATATTTTTCTAATTTAGCTAAGACATTTGGAAAATCTAAGAAATTAGGAAAATTTTCTAGAAACATGGAATTAGTTAATAAACCTTCAAGAGATCATTAGAAGAAATATAATTACACATTTAAGGTTTAAAACCATAACAAACAACTATATGAATCAAATAGGAAAAATTAAGAGATTGTAATAGGTATGTTTCTCTTGGTCTCCCCTTCGGTCTTTAGCCATTTTCTCTTATTTATATATGTCAATTATTTGCCATTTAAACTTTTGTCTTTATTGTTACTATATGCTTTGATGAGATTTTGAATACTCTTTTGCAATAATATGCATTTTTCTTTTTGTTCTGAATTATAGTGACTTGGTAAGTGAATCATATGAAAATAGTAAGCCAATTATCCAATTACCAAGTCCCTGATAGTTCTTTTAAGAAAATACTTTTGAAATATTATGTTGATTTTAATGAAATATTGGAAAGTTTTTAATAATATTCTAAAATTTTTAAATTTTAAATATACAGTCTATTATTGAAATCTGAAATGTAGCCGTAATATCATAAAAATATCAGGGATATTTGGAAAAAAAGAATCATGGAAGATTTTGTATTGCCACACAGAAAATGGGGATATTTCAGGGAATTACCACCAAATATCATCGATATTTCAAACCATTGTACCTATAATTGATATTTTGATAATGTAAAAATAATAATAATTTATGAGTATAATTTTTTGAAGGGGAGGAGAGATTTAACTTTTAAGATGATCTTGTGTGGTAGATAGAAGTTCCTTGGTTCTACAAAATTTTGTGTTTACATTTGTTCTAAGTGTCTTGTTTTTTACCAATTGCTAGATTGGTTGCAACTTTCCTTTTCTTTTTTTTTCTAACTGAAACTTATTGTTATTGTAAAATTACTGGGGCACTTTTCTTTGATTTCAAGAAAGCAGTGTAAGTTCCTCTTTTTATATGGTTTTGGTTTTCCCTTTTGGTTATATAAAAAGGAGAAGACAGAACTGAGCACAAGGGGTTTATGACCTTTTATGATGGTTCAGATCATTTGATTCTTTACAGGGTTTAAGAGATAAAGAAAGAGGTAAGGAGGAAGAAGGTGCACAAGAGCATAGATTTGGGGTTCAGGGAAATTTCTCAGGCCTACATTATTTTCTATTTTTTCCACAGTTAAGAATCAGGTTGATCTTTCCCATGAACGAAGGCACAATGGCCAAACCTTGAAAATGCTTCGTTCTCTTGTATGCTTCTTTAAGTACATACATAAATATATAAGTACTTGTGTTGTTCATTTGCAATCATACATGCATGCAGAACACACATATATACCACCATCTTTCTTTGGTTATGCTTAACTCTTCTTTATATTTGTTACAGCGGTAACCTCTGCCGCCAATTTGATGGGTTGCAAAACCCAGGATCTAATACTAGCTTTATCTTGTCGCAAGATCCGAGCTGGAAATGATGATATTACTCAGAAGCTAACGTTGCAGCAGGTCTGATAAGTACTTAAATTGCAGTTTTAATGTCCCTCTCTCCCTGTCTTTCACTCACTCGATTACTCCTTAAACGACTGTTGCTTTTCTTCTATTTTTTATCAGGCTATTGATGCAAGGGATGCATTGGCAAAGTCTATCTATTCAAGCTTGTTTGATTGGCTTGTAGAACAAATAAATAGATCCCTTGAAGTGGGTAAACATTCCACTGGAAGAACAATAAGTATTTTAGATATCTATGGGTTTGAGTCATTTGAGGTATGTTTTTTATGGATGCATGATTAAGTATGCTGTATTTGCAATACAATCATGTCTTTTGCTGACTTCATTTGTACAATTTGCAGAAGAATAGCTTTGAACAATTTTGTATAAATTATGCAAATGAGAGGCTGCAACAACATTTCAATAGGCATCTTTTCAAACTGGAACAAGAGGTTAGCATCCCAGATCTCTTTTATCCTCAATTGCAGGGTAAAGATGACGCTAATTTAACTTGATTTTGCTGCATATTACCCTCCTGTTTAATGTGATGCTTCTAATTAATTCGGATTTAATGAGATATAGTTGTCATACTGGAAAATCTGATAACTTGAGAAGAACTTTCACATCTGATTTATAATTCTAGTATCTTCTGAGACAAATCTGCTCTCCTAACAAGCAAGATACGGTTTTGAATGTACTGCCAATAATCTAAATTTGTCTATTTTGAAGGGATTTTGACATCATCTACTTTTGGGTGGGTTCGATGTTGGGGTGATTTTCTGTATTTAAATTCTTGTGTAGAGATTTTCATTAATCCCTACCATTTTGTATTTTCATATCTTTTAACACTATTCATTGTTACTGATAAGAAAATGTTTTCTCCAAACATGAAAGAGATTATCAAGTCTTAAACACTTTATTTTCATTAGAAACCAGGAATTGATGCAGAATTATGGAAATAATTGGCAAGAAATTTACTGCTACTCTTGTCAACTTTGCAGATTGTTTTCACTTCAGCAATTCAGGATTTGTTTCTTCGCATTTCCTAGAATATTCTTTCTCTACTTGCTTGATAGGTAAAAGGCATCCAAAACAGAACAAGATGGGGAAAAACAATGTGGATCCAAGTTATCCAACACAGTTACCATTAACATGTAAAGGTGGATCTGTGGGTTTAATCCTTTAGTGGGCTATTTTTGGAGTGCTGAGTTGCCATTTAGGACTTAGGTTTAAGTGTGTAACCAGGCTTGCAAATACTGTATTTTGTGGTTCCTTTGGACACATTTTTATCAGATGCATTTGATTCCAACAGAATGGTGCTACTGAACTTCTAATTATAATGCATTGCCAACAAATAAATTGTGTTGGAGAACTGTGATTGTACTTTTATTTGTCATAAATGTCTACATTTGTATTGGTTTTGGTAATGTAATGACTATATCCCTCTCTCAAATTCAAATACCTTCTTACCTTCTCTTGTTGTTTCATATAGCAAGGACACCTCTGGTTAATTACTAGCGTTGTAACCCACTAATTTGCATACACTGATATTGTGCCAACTTTGTTATAATATATTCATGTGTACTCTGCTGAATTTCTTTCCACTTTCAAATGTTATGCTTGCATGTACAACTCTAGGTCTTGTTCCAATAATAATGTGATAAATAATGAAGCTGGATATCTATTTCAGGAGTATGCACAAGATGGTATTGATTGGAAAAAGGTTGATTTTGAAGATAACCAGGAATGTCTGAATCTCTTTGAGAAGGTAAATCTTCTAAACCTGCCTTCCTTCAATTGGATATTTTTCTACACGGAATTATTTCTCAGATTAGAAGCTAATAATCTTCACTATGATATGTTGTGCAGAGACCACTAGGGCTACTATCACTATTGGATGAAGAATCAACTTTTCCCAAAGCGACTGATTTGACCTTTGCAAATAAGCTTAAGCAGCATTTGAATGCTAACCCCTGCTTCAAAGGGGAAAGGGGTGGGGCTTTCCGTGTTTGTCATTATGCTGGAGAGGTGATCATGCTAACAGCTCAAAGGTTCACAAACTTGTTTTGGGCTCTATAGTTGCTCAGCCCTGTAGATATCAAATTTGAACAAGTTAGCTTGGTAATACAAGATATTAAAAGGGAAGATAATGAAGCTTTAGTTTTTTGCTCCTAAATCATTCAATGGAGTTTTAGTTTTGAGTGAATGATCACTCAAAGATCATTCAATGGGTTTTTGCTCCTAGATCATTCAATGACCTTTGTTTAGGTTGCCAACTGATAAACTCCATATTAGTAAAAGCTGTCTGTCTAGGTCAATCTCTTCAAGGTTAGCTTATATCATTAAGGAAATCCATATTGTATGAGCAAATTTTCAAGTCTAGTGGCATTTTTTTTTTAGATTTTTGACTCTATATTTTCAGAATTAAGATTCAATTTTCTTTAGCCTTACACGTCTGTGAACCTTCTGAAACCATTGATATCTTAGTTCTTAGTTTGTTTTTTACTCTACTAAGATGAGGAGATTTAACAGGTTTTGTATGACACAAGTGGCTTCCTGGAGAAGAACAGAGATCCATTGCACTCTGATTCCATCCAACTTCTCTTATCATGCAGTTGCCAACTAGCTCAGTTATTTGCTTCTAACATTCTTAATCAATCCCGCAAGCCAGAAGGTTCTTTGCGGCGGTTAGGTTCTTTTGATTCCCAGAAGCGAAGTGTCGGAACAAAGTTTAAGGTAAAGATTCCTATTTACTTATTTACTGAATTAGACCTAATTTTTGCAGCACTAATAAATATTAATTTGATTACTTTTAACAATTATGCCAAATTGGAAGCCATTTCCTATATGAAAACTACCTTTGTGAAGATATAAAGAGTAGAACGAATGGTACTTGCTGATGTAGTTAGGGAAATGCATATTCCATTTTTGGATATATTAGATATTTCTTGCAGAAAAGTGCATTTATATTAGATATTTAGAGCATATCTGGGAGAAAATTTAAGTTCTTGTTGAAGTGTCAATCCTAGATTCCTAGTGAAGTTTCCTCTTTTGGAGTTAACTTCTCTTGGCACCCATTATTGATATCATTTTTATAACAAGTGATGCATAATTAAGACTTTTTACGTGGCATCCCTTGATGGATGAGCACCAATAAAGGTGCTCACAGTTCGGTTAACCGAACCATGGGCCTAATTTCCAAACTGAATTGGTACTACTAGTTTTTGGAAAATCAGTAACTAAAATTGAACCGAAGTTAATCGGTCACTTGGTTGATCGGTTCAGTTGATCACCAGTTCGGCTTGTTGGTTTTTTTGTTCTTTGATATTTATAATTTAAATTATAAATATATAATAAAAATAATAGAAATACATATAAAATATCATGTTATAAATAATAAATAATATATATATATATATAAATAATGCATATATATATATTAATTTATAATATATATATATATACTGGTCAGTTCGATTAACCGCAATTTTTTTTATATTTGTTAACCAAAACCAAACCGGTACCTTCGGTTTTTTGAAAATACTGAATGAAAACTGAACTGGCTGGTTTTGTCTCGTCAGTTCGGTTCAAATTTTCAGTTTTTTATGATCATCCCTACACACCAAGAAGGCTAAATGTCTGAAGAAGATGGCAAACAGGCTCCATCCTAGTTGAACTAGATGGTGTCTTGATGAAACATACAAGATAAAAGCGCTATAAAGCCAAGATGAGATGTATTAGAAGGATTTGTGTAAAGTTGAACTATTGGTGACAATGCATATGAAATTGAGCTCGGGCTTGGATTTTGAAAAAATTCTAATGGGCCCGACCCGAAGCCTGAGACCGAGACAATGTAAAGTTGGGCTCGAAGCCCGATCCATGAACAGGTCTACCAGCAACCAAGGTTGAGCAAGGACAAGGACAAAGGGCTAGCAATTCTAATGAGTTTGAACAAGTAGAGTGTGTAGAAGATGTTCGAGTTACCAACACTCGAAATGGGGCCTATTTTATGTTCTTGGTCAAGTTGAAAGGGAAACCAACAATTGAGAACTCTTGGATTAGTGAAGAAGAGTTTATGAAGCTAGATGAAGACATGTGCAAGGCTGCTAAAATTGCTGCTCACATGGGGTTGAGCTCTTTTTAACCTGACGGGAATGATGAGCCCAAAAAAAAGAAGAAAAAGAAAAAAAAAGAAAAAAAAAAAGAAAAAAATGAATGTATTTTGTTTTGCATGTTTTTGTAGTAGGACCTCAAATTGTTGTTTTTAGGTAGCTTTGTTGACAGTTTGGGACCAGGGGTATTTTCGTCATTTTATAATTCAAATTTTGGTCAGGAGCAGTTGGGGGTGCACATCTGTTAGGTTTTGGTCTGGGTCTTTTTGTAACAAAATATTATCTTTTGGGGGGTTCATTGAAGTTAGTTTTGTTCTTAAGGAGTTGCTTGTGAGAGGGAAACATTCTAGGGGCTTATGTGTAAATATTTTATTTGGCTTCTCCAACAAGCCATTGGGTCTTATAAAAGAGAAGGAGGCTGTTTCTGTAGGGGTCTTTTTTGGTTCTTTCTCTCTTGGTTTGAGCTGTAACTCGGCCCTAGCTAGGGTTTTCAAGTATTGGAAGATTGGGTTTTGAGGAGTTGTCCCATTTTGGCACCTTCCAATCCCTCTATCGTTGCGTGTTTGCATGGGAGGTCAGCTTGCTGCTATTTTTACTATAGTGGAACTGTTACAGGAGTTGTTTTACTTACGGTTCAGGTCTGATATCCTTAAAAATCCAATTAGTTTTGTGTTTTCAGCTTGGTATTTCTTGTGCTTATTGCTGCATACTTGAAGTTCTACATGTAATTTGTTTTTGGGAGAATGACGGTTCAGCCAAGGGTCAGAATTCTTAGGCCCAAAGTACAGTTGGGGTAGGTGCCAGCTCGGAGTTGATGCCAATTCATGGGCAGGCATTGGTGTATAGAGTGGGGGTATTTGACATTTTGAATTTTTATAGGTTTGCAGTGGAATTCAGAAATCTGCAATGGGCTTGTCCGTACTTTTCTGTTTGTTTGTTTTTTTTTTTTGTCCACATCAATATCTAAGGACAAATGTTGGAAACTAAATCCCCATTTGAAACCAGAGAAGTTCAAGAGGAGGAAATGTAATGCCCATTTGGCCGTTGTTGGCAGTAATGTTCAGTATGTTTCTGCTTCATCTTCTGCCTTAGACTCCTTTGATGTGATGGATAAACTTCGGATTCTCTTGCTACACTTGGAAAAGAGTTGAACGTCTATATCTACTAGTTTTGGAAATCATTCTAGTGCCTTTGCTAAGATAGGTATTGCACTTGCTTGTTCCTCCTCTAACAACTCCTGGATTGTAGATTTTGGGGCTAGTAACTTCATGATCGGTATGTCTTCTTTCTTCACTTTGTATAAGTTAGCTCCAGGGAAGGGTAAAATTACAATAGCTGATGGATCTCAGGCTCCAATTTCCGGTCTAGGTGAAGTCAAGCTTACCAACAACCTCACCTTGGGTTCTATCCTCCATGTGCCTCAGTTACATAAAAATCTATTATCTGTTAGTTCCTTTATAAAATCTCATAATTTTTATGTGACCTTCTTTCCTACTTATTGTGTCTTTCAGGACTTGAGCACAGGGAGGATGATTGGAAGTGGACATGAGGCTAATGGACTCCATCTTTTTGATCACACATCTGAACAAGGGTTTCTGTGTCAGACTGAGTCCTATCCTAATGAAAATTTGAGCCTTTTAGAATTATGGTGTTGTTGTCTTGGCTATATGTATTTTGCTTCCATGAAACTTTTATTTCCGAAGTTGTTTACTTCTGTGTCAAACTTTAGAAATGAAATGACGAATTCAAATGGGTAACACAACATATGAATTTGACTATACAAGGGGTGGGAACTGGGAAGGGAGGATAGTGCATTTGCTGACTATCTAGCCAGCAAGGAGTAACTAGGAATCAGTTGTATTGGGCCCAATTGTAATTTTTGTGCTGTTTTTTTCTTTTAAGGAGTGAGGCTACACTTTGCACCTCCCCTTTGGAATGCTTGTAACAGGCATTTATCTTTTTGCTGATAATGAATTCTTAATGAACTTTTACCTATGAAAAAAATTGTGTCAAACTTAAATTTTCAGTGTGTAGCCTGTCATTTGTCAAAGCAATGTAGAACAACATATTTTGCGAGTAATAGAAAAAGTAATGTTGCCTTTTCTTTGATACATACTAATGTCTGGGGTCCATGTACTATTTTCGATACAAATATTTCCTTCTTTTCATTGATGACTATTTTTGATATAAATGGTTGTATTTGATGAAGAGTCTGGATGAGGTACTTACAATTGTTTAGAATTTTTTGAATATGATGGAGACATAGTTTGAGAAAAGAGTTAAAATCATAAGATCTGACAACGCAAAGGAGTACTTTGAAAAACATCCATGGCTTGGGGACTATTGTTCTAGATGCATGCTCCCACTCGTTTCTAGGGTTATGCTGTTGAGACTATTGTTTATCTTATCAACCGGTTTCCATCAAGAACACCAAGTCTTCAGTTTCCTCACAAGCTCCCTTTCTCTGATGATCCAGTGTTTAATTTACTCCTCAAGGTCTTTAGTTGTACTTGCTTTGTTCATGATCTGAGTTCTTCTAGACATAAGTTTGATCCTAAGTCCATTAAGTGTGTCTTCCTTGGTTATTATCTTATTTAGAAGGGATATAAATGCTTTGATCCTCTTTCTGGAAGGAGATATGTATCTAAGGGTTGTTACCTTCCTTGAGTCATTGCCTTTCTTCTAGTCATCCCGTCCTTCTCTTTAGGGGGAAAGTGTCAATGAAGATTAAACGCCTTTTTGCTTCCATATTCCTACCCCTGTCTCTACCTATCCATCTACTTCTTCTCCTATTTTCAATTTCCTTTCCCTCCTCCTCCTCCTATGTATCAGCTAGGGGTGCAAATGGATCGGATCATATCGAAGTCTGATCCTATATTCTCGGATTCGGATAGCCCCATATCGGATCTTTAGATTGGATAATAGGATCCGATAAAAAATCGGATAAAATTCATATCACCCCTATCCAATCTGAGATCCAATCTGATATATATGTTATTTATTTATTTATATAAATATATATAACATATATTATATATGTTATTTATTTATAAATATATTATTTATATTGCATTTTTGTAAATTTGTTATATTCTTTATTTTTTTATAGTTGAAAAGATACTTGTATTTTTTTGTTTTTCTGTATTTAAATTGTTACATCTTATTTTTTTCTTTTAATAATTTATTTTTTAAAATCAAATCAAATCAGATTGGATCAGATCCGAATATCTGATTGCCTCATTGGGTTCGAATTCAAATCCATGTTTATGAGATCTGATTGGATCTACAATTAATAGTGTTGGATCGGATTCGGATATACCCTGATTCGAATCCGATCCGATCCGTTTGCATCCCTAGAATCAGCCTTGGTCTTGGTAGTAGTTTTTTATTAGGCATAGTAAGAGGATGACTCTTGATGTTGAGTGTCGACCATAATCTGAACTCTTGGATTCAGGTAATCTTTGTAGAGAAGATGGAAGGTAGTTATGTAATTTTATCTTTCTTTCTTGTATTTTAGTAGGCATGTACATTAGCGTACAACTTCTTTAATAATTTTGTAAGGACAAACTTGTCCATTCATATTTCTTTAATATAAATACTATCCTTTTGGGTTGGTTCGATCAG